TAAATCACCTGGAAGCACTGATCACATACTGGACATGTGGTGCAGTTGCTGCCCTGCTGCAGTAAATGTACATGGGGTGGTTGCTAAGCAGTTAAGGAACAAGTCTCATCAGAAGTTACAGGCATTGTGAACCCTTCTGCCTGCACCTTGTGTTCTTCACATGCATTAGATGTGTATTGATCATGTAGTTTCATGGTGGTATTTGCTGCCCTGTACACACAGCTTATACTGTAGCAGAGTAAAGCTGGCCATAGATGGATTTAAATTTGATCCATGTGTGACTGTGCCTGTTTGACAGAAATTGATGATTTGTATGGATGGATGAATCATTTATGTTATTCTTTACTACACTGTTCCTTATCAAAGTCCAGCACTTCAGCATACAAGTTCCATGGGGCTGCTCTACAGAGTATGAATGCCACTGTTCTACAGGACACTGCCACCTTGTGTTTGTTTTAACACCCTGCATCCACTTTACCAGGGTGTTACATATGCCCTTACTGTGTGAAGGGAAAGTGTTCCAGGGGCCAGGAACCACAGAGAAAGAGTAGCATTCTTCTAAATGAGAGAAGGAAGTTAAAGTGTTTCTAAACTTGTATAGTGGCCTAGCTGTGTGCTGGGCTTCATGTCCTCCACATGTAGAGCTATGTGGTGGGAGATCATGTATACTGCTGCCCAGAACAGGTTGGTCTCCTTAGACTTACTGAGGAGCTATGGGAATGGAATCCTCCCTTTAACACAGCACAGACGCACCACTGGGAAGCTCTCGGCCTGGCCTAACCAGTGCCGCTCAGTAGTCCTTTCCATACCTTCTTCGGGCTTTATGGCAATGAACCCCAATAGCAGCCTTACCCAGCACCTGTTGTTTTCCATCTTGAATGAAGAGGCCATGCAACCAAGGCCTTTTACCACTTTACTGATACACAGTTGATTTACATCCAGTATATACATCCTTCCAGTCATCCCAATAGTGATGGCATATTCATTGGGTGCAAACAGAGAACGACAAAGATGAGAACAGCCCTTACGTTTAGGGGTTTTGCCAGAGTCCTACATCCTATGGGATGTGAGTAGTCCCAAGTCTCCTTCTTTCCTTCTCTCCAAAGAAGAAGCTCTCAGAATCTACAATTTTGCCATGCCTTGGCCCTTGCACTGCTTCCCATGATCAACCAACCCTTGCAGGCTTATGCCAGACTATACAGTATATATTCTTACCCAAGATGCTCCACACTGGCAGGGGTAGGGCTGGCATTCCCTCACTATTTATGGAACACCCCACTCACCACTCGGGGGACTTCTAGTGTCTACTTAGGCACCTCTACAGCCTACTTCTCACTACAGGATTCCTGACCTTAACTATGATGACACCAAATATATAATATGTTGCAGCTTATCAATGATGATGGTGCTGCAGTTATTCCTTGTTTTCATGTTTTTGTTATCCTTTAGGCTCTATTCACACTGGTGAGACTCAGGGCTGGATCTAGGGGGTGCTGGGGTGGCCTGTGCCCCCCACCGATTTCAGCTATGCCCTTCCCAAGTCTCTAAGAGAGCCTCCACTAATCCATGATCCAGTGTGATGCAGACAGTTGATATATGGAGGTACTCTGATGGTATCAATCCATGTAAGGGGGAACTCTGATTCGGACACCTGATGTAAGGGGGCACTCTGATGGGAGATAGGGACACCTGGTGTAAGGGGGCACTCTGATGGGAGATGGGGACACCTGATGTAAGGGGGCACTCTGATGGGAGATGAGGACACCTGATGTAAGTGGTTTACGTGCAGGGGCAGACTGACCATTTGGAAACTCGGGCACTGCCCGAGGGCCCGGGGTCAGTAGGGGGCCCCATGAGATGCCCCTGGTACCTTTTTCATAAGCTTTTTTGAGTTTGGGCAAGGACACAGGGGCCCCATGATCCCCTATTGCCCGGGGGCCCCATGAGTTGTCAGTCCGCCCCTGTTTACGTGAACGTTATAGCATTAACAAAATCCCAGTATATATTAACACCATTTGTAATTTATTTGTTATTTTTACTAGTAATGAAGGTGATCAGTGGTACTGCGGCGGGCATTCTGACACTGGGGGGGAACTGACTTGGTGTCACATCCCCAGTGACACCAGTACAGTGATCAGTGCTAATAAAAAGCACTGACACTGTACTAATGGCACTTGGCAGGAAGGCGTTAACATGTGGGACAATCAAAGGATTAACTGTGTGCTGTTTTACTATGAGTCTGTGTTAGTGCTTTTAACTGTAAGCACACTGCCTTGCATGACTCTGCTATGCAGAGCCATGCAAAGCAGTGTGCAGGAGCTGACAGGAGAGAAAACTGTATTGTTTATATACAGTTCTCTCCCTCCGTCGGTAATGCTCCGTGATCACTGGGTGCTGGCGAGTAATCACTGGCGGGGACCCAGTGATTGATAGCTGAGGTTGTGAATAGCGACACAGGTAGTGTGCAGGCATGGCTCATGTGTGCCTCCTACCCGGAGATGCAAAATCAAGTATATATAGGGGGCACACTACCCGCGCCGCTATTCACAGCCTCAGCTGTCAATCACTGGGTCCCCACCAGTGATTACTCGCCGGCACCTGGTGATCGTGGCGCACCCCTGCCGCCCTGTAGCAGTATATCTGCTATAGGGTGGCAGGAAAGCGGTTAAGGCATCAGTAGCACCTGTATCCACTGTAGTCACTCCATAGATAAGGGCCCATATGCCTCACATAATGCAATCAACGTGCACTTGGATGTCTTTGGCTCGACCTGCACTGGGGTTTAACATAAATGAAACCTGTTTAAGTAGCGGCTCATGTTGAACAATACTTACAAGCTCTTACAGATGTTCAGGTGTGTGTGGGGGGGGGGGGGTGGCAGAGAGCACACGGAGCTGTACAGAAAGGAGCCATGCCTGGCTTTGGAACATGTGTTCCTACATAAACATTTGACATTACAGCGGGTTCAGCTATAACGACTCTTGCAGGTACCATCTCATCCCGCCAGGCCGGCTATTTGCAGTTGTAACAGCTGCTTCCTTTGTTCCTGTTTCCTTAACTTTGGACTAAGCTGTTTGCAAGAACTTCTCCGGATCCCCTGTGACCACTTAGAGACAAGAGAAAAAAGGTCAGGAGCAATATTTACTCTCATTGCAAGGGAAGACTGTGTTGGAGCTTTCCTCTACTGCAATACGGGAGGAATGTTTAATCAGTCAATAAATAAATAAATAGGAAAGAGCGCAAATGTTTCCAGATATCCGCAGGGGCGGTCTCGTCGTTGTGTTCAAGGACTCTGCTCTGAATAATAATCCATAGATAGGCTGCAATGAAGGCCCTGCTAATGCTGAACTCCGGCCTTCCCTTCAGCCTTTCACAGTTGTACCGGCTCCTCTCCTCTATTGAAATTGATTACTCTGATTTCACTGCACAGTGTGAGCTTCTCACAGTATGCATTAAAAGCTGCAGCAAATCAGACATAGCCTGCCTCATTTCCCAGCTAGAGGACATCCGCTTATTGGATTTCAGATCTTTCAAAGTTGGAGGCTCAGCTTCACATGTGAGCATTACCTAGGGCGGTCCGCATGCAAATACTCCCTTCCTAGGATTGTCCATTCCTCTAGACTGACATCCATCCATCCATCAAAGCATTTTGATATTTGTGTAGCACCCTCCTAGGTAGCTAGGGGGAGCTCTAGATTCAATTGTTAGTTAGAGGCTGAGTAGCAGCCTGGGTGTGATAGCCAGGTGGGTCAAATTGAGGTCAGAGCTGAGAGGCTCTGCAGATCAGCTCTCTGGGATTTCCCCCTGCTCTAGTACTTTGGAGAAAGATCTAGAAGCAGTGAGCAGAGGTAAGGAGTGGCTGGTCTGTACTCTTAGAGGATCCTGGCCAACCCCCAACAGCAGGCTTAGCAAGGGGCCAGGACAACCTTTAAGAGTAACTGAGCCTGCTCAGCAGCAGGAGAGTTGGAGGAGAGTTCGGGTAGACGATGGAAAGGAAGTGAGGTGGGAGAGCAGGGATCTGGGAGGGAGCCCAGATGGAGAGGGGCTCACCTCCAGGCAGGAAGCTTGGGACTTCACTGGCCCCCTGAGAGAGGACAACCTGTGTGGCAGGGGAGGAGCGCCCAGCTAGAAGGCCTGGTAGCAGCTACTGACTCACCAACAACACAGGAGAAGGACTAGGTGAGTAAACCTGCACCCCCTGGGCCAGATAGGGGAAGGAGCACTCTGGTGGAAAATCAGATTAGCAACTACCTGGGACTGTTTTACCTTGAAGTGACAGGCACTGCATCCCTTGCTCAGGGATTCACCCAGATTGGCTGGATTAGGAGAATCTAGACTCTGGGGTGGTACATCTGGAGACACTGGTTAGCTCTCCAAGAAGAGGATTTTGCTGTAAAAATGTGAGTATAGTTCAAGGAAGTTGTCCTCGGTATCACAGTTCCATTGGGCATCCCGTACACATCTAACCCTATCCCAGTTCAAATCCCCTAACAAAACTTGAAAACAAAGCTCAAGGACTGGTTACTGTCTCCTGGATGCAAGTTATTTTGGAAATGTGTGTTGCCTGGCTGTGCAGGACTGTAGGGGGCCCAAAACTTCTAAGGGAGTAATGCTACATTTACATAACTCCTCCCAAAACCCAGCCACCTGCTTGCATCAGAGCTGAGAGGAGCACTGAGGCAGCGTGCTGTGATGTTTTTGAGAAGCTATGTACAGCACACTGCCAGCCCCTCCCACTAGCCATGATCTGCCTCCATTGCATAGAAAAGTACAGGGACCTAGTGATGACATAATTGGGACACAAATAAGGTATGTAATGAAAATTAAAAGTTTTATTCTAAGGTTTCATTAGCATGTTGATGAGGAGTGAAAGGAGGAACCAGAAAAGGCAAAACATAAGTTTTGTGTTTGGGAAATGTGTCGGATGCGCAGTTGGATGCCAATGCAAAGAATTATAGGCATTTACAAAAGTACGGCCACCTACTGTCATTCAATATCAGATTGTTTGTGACATATGGGATCCTTCTCTTCTTCCAGTGTCACCCTCTAATCTCCTTATAATACATATTGTGTGGAGTCACTCTGCACATGCTCAGTTTGTGTGTATTGCTAGAGAGGTTTGTTTGTTTTTTTCTTGGGCGAGTGCATGTGATCAGCACAGGGACAATCAGCACTGTCCAGACAGAGCGTCAGGGGTCCTGCATCCTCCTAGAGCAGAATGAAAACTACTCCTACAAGCTTTAACACGTGCTCTGCTGGACACTGATATAATTCTCAAGACTGCACTAACTGCTGATGAGAAAAGGTATTTAGCAGTTTTATATTTACTAAAATAATTGCATTTCCATGTTGTGTGCACTGTGGGGGACCAGATACTGTATAGTGAATGCAGGGTCTGGGTTTAGTAACACACTTGCCCTCCGCCCTATAGCAGAAGTGCTGCTGCAGGGCTGTGCAAAATCATGTATATAGACATGATTTGCATATCCAGGTAGGGGGCACGCACACGCCACCCTGCCCGTGCTGCTATTGGCAGATAGAGATGTCAATCACCGGGCCTCAGTCGGCACTCGGTGATTGTCGGGGGAAGCTAACAGGGGAGAGACCTGTGTGTAAACAATACACGTCTCTCTCCTGTCAGCATGAACATGCTGTTTTGTATCTCTCTGCACAGCATGTCTCCCTAGTAAAACAGTACACAGAACATAGTTAACCATTTGATGGCCCCAGATGTTAACCCCTTCCTCCCCAGGGTCATTAGTACACTGTCAGTGCTTTTTAGTAGCACTGATCATCGTATTGGTGTCATTGAGATGTCAGTGGCAGTTAGTCCCCCCCTGCCCCCCCCCCCCCCCCAGTGTCAGAATGGCCCGCCACAGTCCCGCTATAAGTTGCTGATCACCGCCATTACTAGTATGAAAAAAAATAAAATTAAAATTCCAGCATCTATACTGCCATTTGTAGACACTACAACTTTAACATAAACCAATTAATTTACATGTATTGGGATTTTTTTTTCAGCAAAGACATGTCGCAGAATACATTTTGGTCTACATTTATAAAGAAATTTTATTTTTTAATTTTTTTTATTGGATATGTTTTATAGCAAAAAGTAAAAAATATAGTTTTTTTTTCAAAAATGTTGGTCTTTTTTGTTTATAAAGCAAAAAATAAAAACCGCTGATGATCAAATACCACCGAAAGAAAGCTCTATTTGTGGGAAAAAAAGGACATAAATTTGTGCAATTGGCAGTTAAAGTAATGCAGCGCCGCTGCAAAAAATGGCCTTCTCAGGGAGGGGGTAAATCCTCTGGAGGGCAAGTGGTTAAAATATAACTAAAAGAAACACTTTTTTTTTAGTTTTGAATGCAGAGGAATTAGATCACTTGTCAGTTTTTCCCTGTTGAGGAGATTTAGCCTGTCTATTTCTCCTGCGTAACATTATCATTGAAAGTAAAAGTAAAAGAAAATTCCAAATGGGCTGTCCCCAGAAAAGTAATAGAGGGGAAATCTTCCAGTGGGGACCCTAGTCCTGGTGACCTGGAGGTCCCCAAGGAATTTCCATAATTTGCTGGGATTTCTGCTCACTTCCTGTTGGGCTTTGGGAGAGGAAGTGAAGGGATATCATTGTAATGGGACACAGATGGCAAAAAAAAAAGAAAAATGTGACAGGTTATTTGCCTATAGTTCTACTTTATCTTTTTGTAACACAGCATATTTTAATTAACACATTTGTCTGGACATCTGCTTCAAATCATCAGTTTTCATAATATCTTGAGATCCTGCAATGAAGGTCCTTGTTCAGGCAGTCACTGTTTTGTGTGAGTGTGCTCCAAATTTTCACTCTGTCAGATGCCCCCTTGTTGTCTAAACTATCAATTACAGAATTACTCTTTACAGGGCAACCATGTTAAAAAAACAAAGAACTCTAAGATACAAATAAAAACAATATAACCAGCTATTCGCTTTACAATTGTATTTCTAAGTACAAAGACTTACAACCAAGAAAAGACATCATCTGGTATTCCATCTAAAACCAAAAATATGTGTGCATCCTTCTTTGTTTTTAAGGGCCGATTCACACTATAGAAATGCGATCCAGATGCGTTTTTTTAACGCTTTTTTGCCACATTCTGGTGCGTTTTTTATTAGTTTTTGACACATTCTGGTATGTTTTTGATGCTTTCCGGTTCATTTTTTCCCTTCTCTTTTTCTTCAATTTAAATAGGGACATGTACGTTCCAGTGCGTATTTGATGCCTTTTACCGCATTTCAGTACAGATCTGTGCAGGAAAAATGCAGCCTGTTCTACTTTTTTTCTGCATCTGGAATGTACTGGAACTACAAGCACTGATGTGAACGATGACATTTACAACCATATAACCTACTTTCTGTGCGTTTTGGATGCAGAAAGAATGCACACTGAAACTCATGTAGTGTAAACTGGCCATAAAGCATATAGTTATAAAATGGATGATCAGTATAGAGACTAGATTGCTCATATAGCAAAGCCTGCGAAAACAATACCCCTGGAAAAATAATGGAAGTATATGTAAACCATCACCTTGTAAAACAACACATTCAGTTTAACCACTAGCCTTCAGGGCACTTATACCCCCTTACTGCCCAGGTCAATTTTCAGCTTTCAGTGCTGTCGCACTTTGAATGACAATTGCGTGGACAGATAGAGCTTTCTTTTGGTGGTATTTAATCACCTCTGGGTTTTTCATTTTTTGCTAAACCAAAAACAACTGAAAATGTTGAAAAAAAATATTTGTTTTTTCTTAGTTTTTCTTATAAAATTTTGTAAATAAGTGATTTTTCTCCTTCACTGATGTGCACTAATGAGGCTGCAGTGATGGGCATTGATAGGCTGCACTGATGGGTACTGATCAGTGGCACTGATGGGCACTGATGAGATGGCACTAGTAGGTGGCACTGATGGGCATTGACAGGCATCACTGATGGGCATGGCAAGACAGCACTCATATGGCACTGATAGGTGGCACTGACTGGCACTGATAGGCAGCACTGACTGGAACTGATAGGTGGCACTGACTGGCACTGATAGGCAGCACTGACTGGCATTGATAGGTGGCACTGACTGGCACTGATAGGTGACACTGAAAGGCAGCTCAGATGGGCACTGATGTGCACTGGTAGGCACTGATATGTGGCACTGATGGGCACTGGCAGGTGGCACTGATGAGCACTGACAGCTGGCATTGATGGACACTGACAGGTGGCACTGCTGGAGCTACACTGATCATTAAGGCCCTGATGATCAGTGTACATGTCCCCTACGAGGAATGCCTATTACCGGCTCTCCTCTCGAGCTGTCAGCGTGACAGCTTGTGAGGAGAGAAATGCCGATAACCGGCATTTCCCTATTTACATGTGATCAGCTGTAATTGGACACAGCTGATCACATGACCGAGCCGACATCTTCGGCTCTTTCCATTGATCGCTGATCCGTTGTGTCCAAGGGACACAGCGCACTGCAGATCACCGCGCTGCGTGCTCCCGGAGCCGCGCATGCGCCCATGACGAGAACGAGAGAACCGCCTTGCGCCCATCATTACCTTATATAGCGGGCGGGAGGCGGTTTAAAATAGAACTGAAAGGCAAAACATTTGTTTATAGATATAGTTAGGTACATATATATTTGGAAACCGGCACAATTTTAGGTTTTTCCAGGTATTTACCAAAACATATTCAAGCTATAGTAATATAATGGATATGGGCTGAAAGTGCACACTCTCAGGTTTAATTTGAAGGTATGTACATCCAAACTGGAGGAAGGGTTTAGGAATTGCAACTCTTAAGAGTATCCATCCCCCCTTTTTCAAGGGACCAAAAGTAATTGGACAATTGAATCAAAAGCTGTTTCATGGCCAGGTGTGGGTTTACTTCTTCGTTATTTCTTCATCAATTAAGCAGGTAAAAGGTCTGGAGTTGATTCTAAGTGTGGTGTTTGCATTTGGAATCTATTGCTGTGAACCTACATCATGCGTTCAAAGGACCTGTCCATGCAAGTAAAACAGTCCATTTTAAGACTTAAAAAATGAAACAAATCCATCAGAGAGATAACAGCAACATTAGGAGTGGCCAAATCAACAGTTTCGTACATTCTGATGAAAGAATGCACTGGTGAGCTCAGCAACATAAAAAAGGCATGGACGTCCACTGAAGACAACAGTGGTAGATAATCGCAGGATCCTCTCTATGGTAAAGAATAACCCATTCACAACATCCAGACAAGTGAAGGACACTCTCCAGGAGGTGGGAGTATCATTGTCAGAGTCTATAATCAATGGAAGACTTCACGGGAGCAAATACAGAGGGTTCACCAAAAGGTGCAAACCATTCATAAGCCTGAAGAATAGAAAAGCCAGATTAAACTTTGCCAAAAAAAATCTAAATAAGCCAGACCAGTTCTGGAAAAGCATTCTTTGAATGGATGAAATTAAGATGAATCTGTAACAGAATGAAAAAAATGTGGAGAAGGCTTGGAACAGCTCATGATCCAATGCACACAATGTCATCTGTAAAACATGGTGGAGGCAGTGTGATGGCATGGGCATTCATGACTTCCAGTGGCACTGGGTCATTGGTGTTTATTGATGATGTTACAGAAGACAGAAGCAGCCGGATGAATTCTTCAATGTTTAGAGATATACTGTCAGCCAAGATTCAGCCAAATGCAGCAAAGTTGATTGGATGGAGCTTCACAATACAGATGGACAATGATCCAAAACACACTGCAAATGCAACCCAGGAGCTTTTGAAGGAAAAGAAGTGGCATATTCTGCAATGGCCGAGTCAATCACCTGATCTCAACCCAATTGAGCATACATTTCACTTGCTGAAGGCAAAACTAAAGGCAGAAAGACCCACAAACAAAGAACAACTAAAGACAGCTTCAGATAGAGCCTGGCAAAGCATCAGAAAGGAGGAAACCCAGTCTTTGGTAATGTCCTTGGGTTCCAGACTTCAGGCAGTCATTGCCAGTAAAGGATTCTCAACAAAATATTACAAATGAACATTTTATTTATGGATTATATCATTTGTCCAATTACTTTTGGTCCCTTGAAAAAGGGGGGATGACTACTCTTAAGAACTGTAATTCCTAAACCCTTCCTCCAGTTTGGATGTACATACCCTCAAATGAAACCTGAGAGTGTGCACTTTCAAGCCATATCCATTATATAACTATAGCTTGAATATGTTTTGGTAAATATCTGAAAAAATCTAAAATATTTATGGACCTAACTGTATATAAAAAAAAGATTATAAACACTTAATTTCCCTTTTTGCTAAGTGATCCTAAGTGATCACATACCCTCTGCATACAAATGCAGCAATTTATAAATTTGCTGAAAGGTTTAGCACTGTAAAACACTATCTGAAACATAAAAAGTGCATTTTATATACAACTATATAGATCAGACCAAAATGAGGGACAAATGATTAGGAAAGAGGGACAGAGGGACTTTGTTCCAAATGAGAGACAGTCCTTCAAAATCAGAGACAGTTGGGAGCTATGGGTAAACCACATCTGTATTGACCCCTGATATGTCCATAAAGAGGACCTGTCACCTGCCCATGGTATCAAATAGGGGGCTTTTTAGCTCCCTTGTGATAGCAATAAAGTTGAATGAAAAAAACATTAAAAATGTAAATATTTATAAAATAAATTTGAACTTTTTACGTACACCTGCCCTTCCCCGCACATACTTGTGAATGTAAATGCGTACGTAGTGCCTGCACGTGCAAAAAAAGTGACAGCATAAATTCTGGGACCATAATTCATAGTTAACTCTTAACTGATAACCTGTAAAGGCTTTTAACTCCTTCCCGCCTGACCTATTGTACAATGACAGCCAAGCAGGATCCCTGTTATCCTGGGAGGACGTCACATGATGTCCTCCCAGGAGTGTGCCTCGTGCGCGCCCCATGGACCGTTCTACAGCACTATCTGTCACCAGTTGTGTCCACCGGACACAGCTGATGACAGATCACTACACTGGCCCACTGCCAGTGTCATGTGATCATTGTGACCCACAGCAGATCACATGACAGTTGTAAACAATGATTGGCTTTCTTTCCAACTGTGCTGCTAGCTGTAATTGGTCACATGTACAGACTGGGCCAATCACAGTCCATCTGTAGCATGTGATCAGCTGTGGCCAATCACAGCTGATCACGACAAAAACTACTGAATGAATCAGTTTCATTCAGTAAAAATGCATGCTTATACCAATGAAATTCGTTGGTATAAGCAATCATGATGTGTTAAAAAAAATAAAAAAAAATCATTATCACTTGCCCAGAGTAGTACAATGTTACTATGGTAACATTGTATTGCTCTGGTCACAGGAGTAGAAAAACAAAATCATAAAAACAAAATCTAGAATAAAAAAATTACTTATATATTTTTTGTTACATACTGTCCCCCAGTCAGTGTCCCTGATCACTGCCACACCAGTTATATGGTGATGCTGTACTGCATTGGTGACAGTAGGTAGAAAAAAATATTGTGAAGATTTTTTTTCATTTCTCCATTTTCCACAAAATTATGACAAAAAAAAATGACAATTTCAAAAAACTTGCCATGCCTCTTACTAAATACTTCAGACTGTCTAATTCCAAAAATCGGTCATTTGGGGTTATTTGTACTGTCCTGGCGTTTTGGGCCTCAAGAAATTCTTTGAGGGCCATCAGTACAACAGGATTTATTGATTATTAGAAATATACCATAGTTTGTGGACTCTATAACTTTCCTACCAACTAAATAATAAACACTGATTTGGGTTATGTTCACCAAAGAAATGTAGCAGAATACGTTTTTGCCTAAATTTGTGTAGAAAGATTGTTTATTTGCAAAACTGTATAACAGAGGTAAATAAAAACGTTTTTCAAAAGTTGCCTTTTTTTTTTTCATTTATAGCGCAAAAGAATTTTTTTTTTTTTTTTTTCAAAATGTTCCATCTTTTTTCATTTATAGCGCAAAAAATAAAAACATAGTGGTGATTAAAAACCACCCAAATAAATCTCTATTTCTGTGAAAAAAATGATAAAAAGGTTCATACGGGTATAGTGTTGTCATTGTCATTCAAAGTGTGACAGCTCTGATAGCTGTAAATTGGCCTGGGCAGAAGGGGGTAAAAGTGCCCGGTAGGTAAGTGGTTAAATAGTTACCTAAGAAAACTTTTAGGTACCATAGTTTTTCACCATTTCACCGAAGCGGTCAATTTTGAGTCTTGACATGTTTGGTATCTATTCAATCAACCCAATCCCATTTTTACCAAAAACTTGGGTATTGTATTTGTGTGCACTAAAATTCATTTTAGCGTATCTTGTAAAAATATGAGTTTGATAAACGGCTGGGTAAATATTGTGCAACAAAAAAAAAATTGCAATTTCCACCAATTTATTCTACAGGCCCTCCGCTTGCAGAAAACATTTGATAGACAAATAAACAAGGTATGCAGCGCTATATAAGTAATATACATGTCATTAGAACCTATAATCGCAATATCTCTGCTGAATCACAATAATTAAAGCATGTCCCAGTTCTATATGTGCTCAGGGGCGGACTGCCCGAGGGCCCGGGGTCAGTAGGGGGCCCCATGAGATGCCCCTGGTACCTTTTTCATAGGTTTTTTTTGAGTTTGGGCAAGGACACAGGGGCCCCATGATCCCCTATTGCCCGGGGGCCCCATGTGTTGTCAGTTGGCCCCTGTATATGTGATAGATGATACCATATATGATCGTATAGATAAGAAAAATAAGAGCTTCAAATGTTCATTTTAGCAAAAAAATCCTGAAGATTCTAGTATAATTATGCACTTATCACAAGAACATACAAACTGAGCGTTGTATGTATGTTATCAGGTATATTATCAGCGGATAGAGAGGCCTGGTTTCTACTACGGGCAGCATTCGGTCACCAATATAGACACTCAGGGGATGTCAGCACTCTCTCTGGGGTCACATCTGGCTCACCGGTGGGTCCAACGATGTCCAGCCTCCTGGTGGTACTTCTCCTACGATGATCCACCTTTCATGGCTCGCAAAATAACGAGCCAAAAGGCAAAATGGTATTGATAGTGAAGCACGTCTTTATTATATGATTCCAAAGAAAGGTAAAAAACTCACATTTGAGCCTGCATCAACCAGGTGAGGTGTCCGTTTATGAACCAGCAGTAATAGATCGCTGCTCAGTTCTCCGGCATTCTCGGAGAACACAGTTCTCCTGTGAATGCCGTTTATGAAGCATATGTAGATCAGTTCTCCAAACGAAGGGAGAACGGTCTACAAACGCTGGAGAACGGCTGATTTTACTATAATCTCGCAAGATTACAGTAAAAGATCAGTTTACTAAGCAGAGGTATATTATCGCTGCTTAGTTTGCAGTCCCTCCGATTCTCCAGCTCTGGGCTGGAGAATCTGGAGGGAGAACACAGATCTCCAGAGAAGGGCTGAACATGTTCTCCTGAGTGTTATAAACTGTGAATGACCAGAGAATAGCTGCGATCCTCTGAATCACAGCTATTCTCTGTGTCATAAAAGGACACCTTAGTTTGCAAATTCCCTGGTGGTTAATGGCTCCCTGGGGGTTAATGGCTGCCTGGTGGTTAGTGGCGCCAGCTGGGTGAATCCCCTAACATGTTTCGAGCAGACAAGCTCTTTATCAAAGGGGTAACATTTGATGTTTGGGGGCCTAAAGTAAAACTCTAGCAGAAAATACTGAAAATCAGTGAAATCAGTGTGTGAAAAAATAAAAAAGTGCCCAAGATACAAAGTAGTTAAGGACTATAATCAGGATGTATTATAATATAGTTCTGTGTACTTTAATGATTGCATTCCAGTCTATATTTAAGGCCCCATCACAGGACAACTTCCAGATATACAACCTGCTCTGTTGTGACACGGAGGATACATGGAGGATGCACGCAGGAAGACAACAAGGAACATTATGAAAACAAGAATTGCCATTACGTCCAATGATGAGTGATCTGTACAAGTATTACCTTCTAATTGATAAGCAGCGGTCAGCTCGCAGTCTGCTGGGAAGTCGCAGTGAGAATCTCTTTGCAGATGTGATGAGTGATGGAGGGAGCTAATGTGTCATTTAAACACACATAGATAATGAGTTGTGGTCAGCTGTGCATTGTCTCCGGACAGTGAAGTTCAGGGTCTCCGATTTCCAGAGATCCTAATGCCGGACCATCTAGGCTGCTTTCACACTGATCTGTTCCATGTATGCATTAAAAAAAATAAAGAAAACCGCATGACCAATAAAACCTATGGAACTCTTCACACTGGTCAGTTGCATTTTTTCAAAGTCCTGCTTCTTGGAATTTTGGTGCGTTTGCTGCAATAAAGGAACTGGACCAAAAACACACTTCTCCATTGACATGAATGGAAAACGCATCAAAAACGCACCCACGGTTGCATTTTGACACGTTTTTTGAGTCACTTTTTTTTACAGGTGCAAAATGCACTGGAACCTCAGCAAAAATACAGAAAAAACACATGTGCGTTTTTACTGCATTTTTGCAAGGGAACTGTAAAAGTAGTCTACCTTCAACAAGTCTTCTCCTAAGATTTTATGTGCATTTATCGTATTTATTCATGTTATTCACCTGTAAAAGCCTCACTTGTAATGGCAATTCATTCAAAAGCACACAGAATGCTGCTGGGGATCACCTTCTTGGATGGGATATCAGCAGCCCACGCAGACTCAGCTGTCACTGAAAGGGGAACTTCACTGTATCTGAGCTCCACAAATCAAAACCTCTATTTAATTCATTTTTAATATTCAAAGCATATTCCCCCATCCATCCATGTCTCTACACTTTATTTTTCTGAGAAATTACTTTGAAAAACACCTGGCCATTTCTGGCCATGGCCATCTTGAGTAAGGGTAGAAGATTCCTGTAGCATTTACTTCCTGGAATCCATCTGTCCTTTGCTCAGACATGCAGGTAGGAGAGTGTGCTTCGTTGAGAAAAAACACCTCCTCTCCCCCTGAGGATTCCTGTGATGTATAACATCGTTTGCCTAGGCTTAAAAACCAGGAAGTAACTGTAGAAATGTAAAAAAAAATAAGTTTGAATGAAGCAAGTATGATATATTTTCCTATTTGTTTACTAATACTGGCAGCAAAGGGATTCAACATAGTCAGTGTTGACTGAGAAGGTGATGTTCTGCTTTAACCGCCTCCCGCCCGCCATATAGTAATATGACGGACGCAAGGCGGTTCTCTCGTTCTGGGAGGATGTCATATGACGTCCTCCCATTCTAACCGCGCATGCGCGGCTCCTGGAGCGTGCATCACGGCGATCAGCGGTGTGCTGTGTCCCTTAGGCACAGCGGATCACCGATCAACAGAAAGAGCCGAAGATGTCCAATCACAGCTGATCACATGTAAACAGGGAAATGCTGACAGCTCGTGAGGAGAGGAGAGCCGGTAATCGGCATTCCTCAGAGGGGACATGTACACAGATCATCAGAGCACTGATGATTAGTGTGCCCTGATGATCTGTGTAGCTCCAGCACCGTCACCTGTCAGTGTCCATCAGTGCCAGCTCTCAGTGCTCATCCATGCCACCTGCCAGTGCCACATCAGTGCCACATTTCAGTGCCACATATCAGTGCCCATCTGAGCTGCCTTTCAGTGTCACCCATCAGTGCCAGTCAGTGCCACCTATCAATGCCAGTCAGTGCCACCCATCAGTGCTGCCAATCAGTGCCACCTATCAGTGCCAGTCAGTGTCGCCTATCAGTGTGCATCAGTGCCGCCTATCAGTGCCCAGCAGTGCTGCCTATCAGTGCCACCTAACAGTGCCAGTCAGTGCCGCCAGTCAGTGCCGCCTATCAGTGCCATATTTGAGTGCTGTCTTTCAGTGCCCATCAGTAATGCCTGTCAATGCCCATCAGTGCCACCTACCAGTGCCTCCTCATCAGTGCCCATCAGTGTCACCTATCAGTGTCCATCAGTGCAGCCTATCAGTGCCCATCATTGCAGCCTCATTGACGCACATCAGTGAAGGAGAAAAATCACTTATTTACAAAATTGTATAACAAAAACTAAGAAAAAACTTTTTTTTCTCAAAATTTTCAGTGGTTTTTGGTTTGTTTAAGAAAAAATAAAAACCCAGAGGTGATTAAATACCACCAAAATAAAGCTCTATCTGTCACAAAAAAAGATACAAATCTCATATGGGTACAGTGTTGCATGACGGTGCAATTGTCATTCAAAGTGCAACAGCGCTGAAAGCTGGAAATTGGCCTGGGCAGGAAGGGGGTATAAGTGCCCTGTAGGCTAGTGGTTAAGTAACACTTTATAGCATTCCCATTCGCTCTTCCCCTGGCTGCTGTTTTTGTAGGAAGGGAAGGGGAGGGGTGAAGGAGCTGGGCTAACACAGACAATAATTAGACACTCCCAGAGGAGAGGGCATGGAGAAATGGGGGCTGTGCTAGGGAATTGTCTCACTTGGAGTAATAGATTTTCTAGCAAATTCAGAGGCACATTGCAACTGAGTACAAATAGTTTATGGAACGGAAAAAAAAATCACTACAAGTGAGCAATTAAAATACTCAATTGCTCTGTGCTTTTACCTGCAATTTTTTGGGTTGATGACAAGCTCTCTTCACGGTCTATGGAAAGCCTAAACTTTTTTTTTTTCTTATTTACATAGCATAGAAGGGCTAGAACTCGCAGTCAAGTATTTTTACTGTTACCACTAGAGATTTCTTACTTTACGGAATATTTTATTGTGTATTTATGCTATGACACTTGTTTTATGGGTTGTATGGGTTGTATGGGTTTTGAGCACCGCACATATATAAGTATTTTTCTTGTCTGTGTTCCCTGTCTGTGACTCTACTGGTCCTGCTGTCCATTGTCCTCACTAGTGATGAGTTGGACATACCTTGTTAGGTACTGGGAGGGTTCAACAAACATTACTGAAGTTCAAGTGCTGAATTCAAACCCCCTTGAAATCAATGGGAGCAGAGAGTTACAAAACAATAATAGTCATTTCCTGGGCTAACAGGTAAGGGACTATCAAACAATTAACATAGGGGCTGTCCATTGCCTCAGGGAACATATACATGTTTGCCTGGGAGTAGTGATTCTAATGATGTTTAAAGTGCAACATTTCTTTCAATAACATGCTAGGCAGATGCCCTTAACCTGCCTTTGAAGTGGTGCATCTGTACACTGTATACAACCTACTACAGCAAAATTGATATTTACAATGTAAAAAATGCAGATTAAAAAGAATACAGCATACAAAAATACATACCAGACCATAATCCTTGATGTCAAGGAGGATCCCATGCAAAAATACCAAACAAAAAAAAAGGTGCGGGGTCCCCCTAAATTCTATACTAAACCCTTAGCTTGGGTTCACACGGATGCGGTGCAGAATTTACAGCATTTTCTATGCGAATTCCACACCGCATCAGAATTGCACCCCATTCATGGGAATCACTGCGGGTGTGTAAGATAACAACACCTCTCGAAATCGGTCCGCAAAACGCAGTGTGATGTGCAGAATCAGATCACATAGGTGTGAATACCCACGTGATCCGATTCTAGTGCGGACCAATAAAAGGGTCCTGCACCTCTTTGGTGCGGATGCGGTGCGATTGGAGCCATACATAATGTACTTGGAGAACTTGGATGTACACAGCACACATCTCAATCCTGCACTCCGTACACAGAACACCCCTCAGTCCTGCACTCCGTACACAGGGCACCCCTCAACCCTGCACTCTGTGCACAGCGCACCCCTCAACCCTGCACTCCACACACAGCGCACCCTTCAACCCTGTACTCCGTACACAGCGCACCCCTCAATCCTGCACTCCGCAAACAGCGCACCCCTCAATCCTGCACTCTGTACACAGCGCACCCCTCAATCCTGTACTCCGCACACAGCACACCCCTCAACCCTGCACTCCATACACAGCGCACCCCTCAATCCTGCACACAGCACACCCCTCAACCCTGCACTCCACACACAGCGCACCCTTCAACCCTGTACTCCGTACACATCACACCCCTCAATCCTGCACTCCGCAAACAGCGCACTCCTCAATCCTGCACTCCGTACACAGCGCACCCCTCAATCCTGTACTCCGCACACAGCACACCCTTCAACTCTGCACTCCGCACACAGCGCACCCCTCAATCCTGCACACAGCACACCCCTCAACCCTGCACTCCGTACACAGCGCACCCCTCAATCCTGCACTTTGTACACAGCATACCCCTCAATCCTGCACTCCGTACGTAGTGCACCCCTCAACCCTGCACTCTGTACACAGTGCACCCCTCAATCCTGTAATCTGTACACAGTGCACCTCTCAACTCTGCTTTCCGTACAAAGCGCACCCTTCAATCATGCACTTCATACGTAGCGCACCCTCAACCCTGCACTGCATACCTAGCACACCCCTCAACCCTACATTGCATACACAGTGCAACCCTGAACTCCATACACAACGCAATCCTGAACTCCATACAAAGTGCATCCCTCAACCCTGCAGTCTGTACACAGTGCACCCTTCAATCCTGCACTCTATACACAGCGTACCCCTCAATCCTGCACTCCGCACACAGTGCACCCCTCAACCCTGCACTCAGTGAGCAATAATAATACGCAGTAACTTCTAGCTACCAATCAGTTCGCAGTAATGATGTGCAGTAACCTCTAGCAACCAATCAGTGAGTGGTAATGATGTGCAGTAACCTCTAAGAACCAATGGGTCAGTGGTAAGGATGCGCAGCACCCTCTAGCAATTAATCAGTGAGCAGTAATGATGTGCAGTAACCTCTAACAACCAATCAGCAAGCAGAAATGATGTGAAATAACTCAACACACAGCCATTAATGTCTAAACCACTGGCAACAAAAGTGAGTACACCCCTAAGTGAAAATGTCCAAATTGGGCCCAAAGTGTCAATATTTTGTGTGGCCACCATTATTTTCCAGCACTGCCGTAACCCTCTTGGACATGAAGTTCACCAGAGCTCCACAGGTTGCCATTGGAGTCCTCTTCCATTCCTCCATGACAACATCACGGAGCTGGTGGATGTTAGAGACCTTGCGCTCCTCCATCTTCTGTTTGAGGATGCCCCACAGATGCTCAATAGGGTTTAGGTCTGGAGACATGCTTGGCCAGTCCATCACCTTTACCCTCAGCTTCTTTAGCAAGGCAGTGATTGTCTTGGAGGAGTGTTTGGGGTCGTTATCATGTTGGAATACTGCCCTGTGGCCCAGTCTCCAAAGGGAGGGGATCATGCTCTGCTTCAGAATGTCACAGTACATGTTGGCATTCATGGTTCCCTCATTGAATTGTAGCACCCCAGTGATAACACCAAATTTAACACACCTGCTCCTCATTCACACCTGAGACCTTGTAACACTAACGGGTCACATGACACTGGGGAGGGAAAATGGCTCATTGGGCCCAATTTGGACATTTTCACTTAGGGGTGTACTCACTTTTGTTGCCAGCGGTTTAGAAATGAATGGCTGTGTGTTGAGTTATTTTGAGGGGACAGCTAATTTACACTGTTATTCACGCTGTACAATCACTACTTTACATTGTAGTAAAGTGTCATTTATTCAGTATTGTCACATGAAAAGATAGAATAAAATATTTACAAAAATGTGAGGGGTGTACTCACTTCTGTGAGATACTATATATCCTTTGTGGCTCTTGAGGAATATATTTAAAGTGTTACTAAACCCAGGACCCTGCATTCACTATATCTGGTCTCCCACAGTACACAGAACATGGATATGCATTTTATTAAATATAAACTGCTAAGTACCTTTTCTCATCCACAGTTACAGCAGTCTTGTGACTTCTATCAGTGGTCAGCAGAGCACTGGTTAAAGCTTGTAGAAGGAGTTTTCATTCTCCTGTCACTGTCCTATGAGGCTGCAGGACCCCTGACCCTCTGTCTGGACAGCGTGATTGGCCCCGTGCTAATAACATGCACCGTCCCAAAGAAAAAAAGAAAAAAACTTAAAAAAAAACTCTAGCAATACACACTAACAATGTGCAGCTTGCCCCCAAGGCTCTCTTCTATCAGCAGATGGATAGGGGACAGTAGAAGGAGGGGACAATCAGAGAAGAAAGGATCAAACAGTCTTTTTACACACTGCAGAGTATTAACCCCTTAGGTTTCACAGCGAGTATAAGAAGCATGCTTTACTGCATATACAGACTGATTTTACTGCTGTAACACTTTGAATTAAAGTTTTTTTAGTTCAGCTATAAGGAAACCATTTCCAGGGATAAAAATGAAGGCTACCACAGTGATTTCTCAGTCTGCAAATGCTAGTTACCTGGCTGTCACAATAATTTTCTGTCTCCCGTGCTTTTTAAGTGGTTCTATAGCATCAAGGGTTTTTCTTACCTTTGTTACCTGCATTTTATACATTAAGGTTAAAAACCTTCTGAGTCACACACTCCCCCTCTCACCCCCCTTATACTTACTTGAACCCCATCGCAATCCAGCGCTATGCACGAGAGCTGAAGCTCTCTTGGTTCTGTCCCTCCTCACTGGGCAGACAGATAGCAGTGGGAACCAATGGCACAGGATACCCCAAGAACTGTAGAACTGAATAACTTGCGGACTCCTCAACTTTCTGGCTGCACAGTACAAAAAGAAATGTCCCACAGGATCTGTATGATGATAGTAACTAGTGCTCCTTCCAGAGTCTAAAAGCTACACAATGTCACTAACTCTTCAGCTTACTCACATAGCCACAG